CACATTTGGTATCAATATCGGGATGCTGGTATCGAGACTGAGCATCCTAACAGTTAAATTTATAGTCGTTGAACCATTGGTATTGATACTGTTTAAATGAGTATCGATACTCAACCATCGGTCTCGTTACTAGGACAATGGTCTCGAGATGAAAAGCCTTCTGAGATTTGGTATCGAGACTATCTAGTCTCGAGACTAGGAGGGGTTTTGGCTAAAATATAAGTGTTTTGAGTTTTAAAACAAACTTACAATTTGTGAAATTACTTAAGAACACTTAAATCATTTATGACAATTATTTATAAAATTGTGAAATGCAAATTTTAACAACTTAAATCATTTAAAAATCCATGTTATATCAAAATCAAAAGTTGGTTTAACAGTACTAAAGTTTAAAAAATTTTAATTTAACTACTCAACTTTCAAATTGTTCCTATTTAATCACTCTAATTTATTTTATTAATAACTTTTGTGACATGGCATCTTTTTATTTATTTATATGATTAAAAATAAAATTTGAAAGTTAGAGTGATTAAATTAGGAGTGATTTGAAAGTTAAGTAATTACATTGAAAAAAATAAACTTTAGTAACCAAAATAAGAGTGAGAAGATAGTTGAGTGATCAATGATGCAATTTACCTATAAAAAAGGTGCCAATGGAAATCACTCATAAAATTTTTAAGTGGGACTAAAACGAAACAAAAACTAAAATTTATGTATGATTTGAAAAAGTAAAGTTTAAATACTAAATGGAAACAATTAATAGTTTAACTTATAAATACGTAATTTACCTAATTTATAAAATTATAACAATAAATTATTTTTATGAATAATTGTGTATCATTAAAACTAATTATTATTATTTCCAAAAAATAATAATAATTTTTTTAAATTTTGAGGTTTCGATTAAATTATTTGGACAATATAACTATGTCTATCTTTAAAAATTTTGTTAATTAAAAAAATACTTTTATAATTGAATTTAAAATAAAAGTTATAATAACTATGCACCCGAGACTATTGAACTTTAAATAGTGTATTGTTTATTTTATTAAACTTTCAATTTCTTTAACTGTAGCACTAAAATTTAATTTTAACTTTAATTATATCACTGAGTCGTTAAATTTTAAAGGCTCGATGACGTAGACGGACCTTTCTGCCACTATAATGATATGAACAAAATTATAAAATAATATCGTTTTGGTGCGGCTATCGGTATCCAAAACAAAGTCATTTTAGATATTAAACTTTAGGGTGTATCGAATTTACCGTTAAACTTGAAAAATGTTTAGTTTTTGACACTAAACTTTTTCGATGGCCATTGTCAACCATTCGCCGCCCAATACCAATCGTCTTTCATAATTAGACAAGTATCAAAATATCTGCATTTTACTTATTTTTCTTCTCGTAAGATTGGTTTTCCATGAAATATACTTAAAAGTGACAAGAATCCATTTAGTTTCAACATGCTAATAATTTGATCTCCTCTAGTGGTCATTCGATGAGACTAGTTTTAATGTAGTTTATCTTCTCGAAATAATATTTCTCACCGTTCGGATTTCCAGACAAACAATTTAGTACCTAAAATGATTTGGTTTTATGTATCAATAACCGCATCATCACACCATTAGAATTTTAACAACTTACGGGCATAATTAAAATCAAAACTAAAATTTAATATTATAATTATAAAAATTAAAAGTTCAATAATATGAATAAGGGTAAATCACACCAGACACCATCGAACTTTAAGATGTTGTATCTTTTATACCATTAAACTTTTAATTTTATCAATTATAATATTGAACTTTGATTTTTCGTTTTAATTATATCACTGGACTGTTAAATCACTAACTGTCGGATCAAAACGATATTATTTTGACAAATATTTATATTTGTAACCGTGAATCACATCGACAGTCATTAGCCATGTCACCGTTCCACTAAAGATTGATGTGTGACTTATTTACTCTAGAAGTTATTACTGAATAATACTTAAAGTTAGGCAAATGCAGACAAATACAATGACATAACAACGTTGAATAAATTAATCATCCACTACGCATTTGCAGTGAGAAAACGAAGGAAAATCCAGCCAAACAGCTAACATGCTGTTCAAATATTCAACCCTCCAAATCATAAATCAATTCTGATTTGCGTGCAGGCAATTCCAACCATTTTCATCTGTTTTCGTATCCCCTCACTCCATTTGCCGTCTTTCTGGCAAGTTAGAGCGATGGAATCCACAGATAAACACACCACCGCCTCCACTCCGGCATCCGAAGCGGCGCCTCTGCAGCCGCCGGCGGAGGCCTCCAAGTATTCTGCTCTCGACGTTGTGCTTAGGGTGTTGTTGTTTGCCGCCTCCGTGAGTGCTGTGGTGGTGATGGTTACCAGCAAGCAATCGGAGATGGTTCCGGTGCCAGGCTTTCCGCCTAATATTAGGGTGCCTTTCTCAGCCAAGTTCAACCATTCACCTGCCTTCATGTAAGTCTAATTTATGTCGACCTGAATGATCACCGAATATTTGATTAAATCGAGTTGAGTTAATAAACATATCTAAAGTTTAGTTAAGAAACATATCTAAAGTTTAGTTTTTGTTTCATTTTAGTATTTTATCGTTAAAAATTTAACGTATTTAGTACGTAAATTATTAATTTTGATATGTTTTAGTACTTAAACTTTTATTTTTTTCAAAACTTAACATTAAGTACTAAAATGAAAAAAAAAACAAAATATTAAGTATGATTTTAATTATAACAATAATATTAGGTTACTCATGTTGAATAATAATAATATTTGTGCAGATACTTTGTAGCAGCATTATCGCTAACGGGCTTATACAGCATTATTACAACTCTGGCATCTATTTCGGCCTCTCGCAAGGCCAAATCCATCTTGCTCCTCTTTGCATTATTGGATGTGGTAAGCTCACAGAGGTTGAATTAATCGAGTTTGAAAAAGTTGATCGAATTAACTCGGTTTGACATGTTTCCGATTCTAATCATACGATGCAGGTGTTTGTGGGGATCGTTGCCTCAGCCACGGGCGCGGCCGGAGGCGTAGCCTACATCGGATTAAGAGGTAACAACCACGTCCGGTGGAACAAGATCTGCAACACTTTCGACACGTTCTGTCGGCACATTGGAAGCGCGGTCGCGCTCTCGTTGTTCGCCGCCATCTTGCTGGTGTTTCTCAGCATGATCTCCACCTTCACACTTTACAGAAAGATTCGTTAACTTTCACTGTGTCTGAATTTCGACAATGTTAGAGAATGTTGGTTTTCACTCTGTGTGTGTGTTCATCTTTTGAGCTGCGTAGGAAATGTTTTGTTGGTAAACGAATGTCTTAATTTCTGTTTTTTTTTTTTTTGTAATTTTTATTTTTATTTGTAGTATGACTTCTTTTTATGTTTTCTATTTTAAAGAATATCCAACTATTTTATTTAAATATCATTATATATAGCGACGTTATTTATTTACAAATGCCATTAACTTTTGCGGCGTTAGTTTTACCGACGTTTTTTGTGGTGCTTATTTTTGTTTGCCAAAAAAAATATATAGTGGCGTTTTACCAATAAACGCCACTATAGATGGACCTATTGCGATGTTTTTTCAAAAAAACGTCACTATTATTGTGGCTTTATTGATAAAACGCCATTATAGATGAATCTATTGCGGCGTTTGTCAAGAAAACGCCACTATTGTTGCCCCAAATCGAATATATCTAGAAAATAAGGGCCCCTTTATACGAATTTGTACAGGACCCCCGAAAACCCTACCACGGCCCTGGGAGGAGAGAGGAGTTTTGTGCAGTGTCTTCCATGCTTGGTGGAGGGATACAGTGGTTGGTGGTCTCTAGTGATTGCAGGGGTTAGCTTTGCACTGATGTCTTGGGTGTGGCTGTATAGTTTCTGCTTTCCGGTGATGGTGGCAGTTCGTGGTCCGAGATGGGTGTTGCCTCTGTTTGGTCTAAGTCAGGCTGGTGAGTTGACTGCGTTTGACCGGGTACCTGGTTTGTGCGGACGTTGGTGCGTGGGTCATTTTGTTTTTGGTTTGTATTTGGTCCGAATGGCTGGTTCGTGCTAAAGTAGCTATGGTTTTGGTCCGTTCTTGGCGTGGCTCAACTGAAGTGTTCGACAGTGTGTTACATGGTGCACTCTTTTTCCTTTGTTTAAGATTAGGAAGGTATAAATAAATATTTATTTTTATCTTATCTCTCTTTTTATACATTTTTAATTAAATATTGTTTTTTTCTAAAAATTAATTTTAAAATTTAATTTATTATTTAAGTTTTTAATGTCCAATTAGATACTTGAACTTGACATATCAATACAAACTAATATATGAATTTAACCTTTTATTACATGTCAATACTTATGGTCAATAACTAATTTGAATCCTTTTAAACTAAAGAAGTCAATTTTAACTATCTAATTAGACAAAAAAAAAAGACATTTTAGGTATCAAATTAAACTATCTAATTGCTGAAGCGAAAATTGAACTTTAAAACCAAATCTAGATACCAAAATATTTTATTTTTACAAAAATCGGGTTCAGATCGGATTGAGTTTTTTAGAAAATATGTTCGGGTCGGGTCAGGTTCGAATTTAAGGTGAAAAAATTCTATAACCTGAAAAGAAATGTCAATTTACCTTATATATTTAGAGATTATTACAATAATAATCTTATATATATATTCAGTTAAATCTATATTTTTATTGAATAAAAAATATTTTTAAATATATTTATTTCAAGTCGGATTGAATCAAGTTTGGATCGGGTGAAGTTACCCCTAATCTCGAATCAGATTTCAAGTAGAATATATATAATTTAAGGTCAGATCGGATTAACCAAAAATTCCCTGCTCATCTCTTAGTAACCCTATGATGCTGACCCAAAAAGCCCAATGGGTCGAGGGAAGATCCAGCAGCTAAAACGACGCAGTTTCTGACTTTAAATCAGAACCTTCCACCTGTAAACTCACAAGCCACATATCCAAAAACAGACAGCCAAACTCCCCACGTTGCAATAAACCGACATCAACCCGAGCTTCTGATCTCCAAAAATTTCAGACAAAACCCCAAATCTCCACTTCAAAAATCCAGTAATTAGCAAAAGAATAGAAACCATCAATCAATCAGGCTACTCATACAGCGCACTCCCAAACGACGTAGCTCTCAAAATCGCTTCACTTGAGGTTTGCTTGCTCTCATTTCACTCTCCTCTTTTTTTTGTTTTTCTTTTCTTTCTGGGTATTGTTTGATTGTCGGGTATTCGGGTTTTTAGGTACCGGATCTTTCCTCCTTGAGCTGCTGCTCTCGGGTTTGGCGAGAGATACGCGGGTCGGATTGTTTATGGGAATCACTCGTCAGAGAAAGATGGAGTCTTTTGTATGGAACTGTGAAAGACCCAAACTTCAAGGTTGTGCTTTTTGTTTGCTTTAATTTTTATGAGTGAATATCGATATCGACTGACAATATATAATTTTATGCTCTATCAGTGAATAAGATGATCACTCGCTTTGTTAGAATAGATTTAGTGATACGAAATTGTTTATCAGTGAAATACCGATATCGACTGTCGGTATATGATTTTATGCATCATCGGTGAACGAGATGATCACGCTCTCTATTAGAATAGATTTAGCGATATGTAATTGTTTATGAGTGAAATATCGATACGGACTGGCTGTATATAATTTATGCATCATCAGTGAATAAGATGATCACACACGCTATTAGAATTGATTTAGTGATACGTAATTTTTCACGAGTGAAATATCGATATGGACTGACATTATATAAGTTTATGCACTATCAGCGAACAAGATGATCATGCGTGTTATTAGAATGGATTTAGTGATGCATAATTATTTACGAGTGAAATACCGATATGGACTAACTGTATATAATTTTATGCCCCATCAGTGAACAAGATGATCACCCGCTTTTATTAGAAACTTAGAATAGATATAGTGATAAGTAACTGTTTGGTTCACCGATAGTGTATAGAAATTTACGCATCAAATATAAATCCGAGTGAAATATATGGCGTATTGATCATGAAATAGTTGGTTATGGCCAATTTTCTTTTTTTTCTCGTATGTCGATTGATTTGGGTTAATTTTATGCTCTTTCAGTGAACAAGATGATCACTGGCGTTATTAGAATAGATTTAGTGGTAGGTAGTTGTTTATGAGTGAAATATCGATCTGGACTGATGGCATATAATGTAATGCACTATCAGTGAACAAGATGATCACTGGCGTTATTAGAATAGATTTAGTGATAGGTAGTTGTTTATGAGTGAAATATTGATATGGACTGATGGTATATAATGTTATGCACTATCAGTGAACAAGATGATCCTACACGTTATTAGAATAGATTTATTGATACCAAATTGTTTGGTTCACCAGTAGTGTATAGAGAGAGATACGCATCAAACATAAATCCGAGTGAAATATATGATGTATTGATCTTGGAATAATTGGTTATAGCCAATTTTTTGTTTGTTGTATGATTGATTTGGGTTAATTGCTTTTGTTTCATTGTTCTTTGAAGTGGAATACGTAACTTCAAAACATGTAATTGAGTCCTCAAAGTACTTGTACTGTATAGATTAGGTCTTCCAGCCAATTGATACATATTTAAGTTTTGATCATATGCTTCAAGTATGATCTGTGTTAGATACAAGCTAGCATATAATGTCCAAGATGGCGACTAGGCTGATTGAAGGACCTTATTGACGAAATATTGATACCATGAGGATTTGATTAAAATGTTTTGAAATTCATGATCGATTTACAATCCTAAATTGTTGAGGGTAAGAAAGTGATTTTTCCTTCTTCTTCTTTTCCCTCTTACCAAACATGTTAGTTCTGTATATTAATAGGTAACTCAATTCCTTAGTATTGATTTGAAATTTGTGAAATTTTGATGATAGGATTGGCGGGGACTCTACATAAAGCAGCATGAAGAGAAGAAGGCTCAGGTGTCATCCGTTGTTAACGTGTGTAACATTGCTCACAATCCGAGTCGCATGAGATTCTTGACTATTTGCAAGCGATTGATGCCTGAAAACGATGCAGTTTGGATTCAAAGATGTTCAAATGCTGCTCTTGAGACCAAAGCTGAATGTTCTGCTTACCTTGATAGGACTACATTACTGCCTTAACATCCTTAAAGTGCCGGTAACTTTTCCCATTTATTTTGTTTCGTTGAGATAGTGTTTTTGCCGAAACCTTTAATTGTTAAAACCGAGAACAATGTGTTATAGTGAAATCTTTGACTTAAGTTATTAATTGATAGTTTATCAGAATCTTTGGCTTAAGTATATTGAAGACTGGTTCTAATAGCTTTGAAGAATTAAATCCTTCGATAACTAGTGGATAAGAAACTTCTTTTATTCGACGACGATAAGACGAGATTAAATGATTAATGTAGTTGGTATGGATCGAAAAGCTAAACCGATCTGCTATTTCTTAGGTGGTGATCTTCTGTATAGATTTTAACTACATTTTTCATGTGTTCAGCCTTGCTTATTACGCCTCTGCTGCCGGGCACCTGTATATGCAAAGACCTTAGAAAATTTTGTACACCCATGTTGGATACGCATCCATTTTACTCGGCTCCGATTTTAACACCATAAGTTTACAGGCTTTCGTATCTTGGAAGCACTTCGGAACAGTAAGATAGCTGAATGTCAGTTTGTGTCCAATGTGGAAGCCCGGGAGATGGTTCTACGGCTTCCGCATCCGAAACGATTCTCATTCCCGTTGTGTCTCTCTTGAAGATCTTGCAATGGCAAAAGACGAGAGGTGCTGGCAGTCCCTCGAACCAGAAACTCTCACGAGCTTTTGACAGCAGTTCAGATATCCGTTGTTAATTATTCCACAAGCAATCTCCAGTCTAGCCAAAACTCAACATGACTGTGATTTTGGGCAGCGGGACAACTTTCAGGTGATGTACATATAGTGTTCATTTCATAACATTTTATATCTTACGGGACTCGAGTTCGAGTACATCCGATACAGATATGCCGTTGACGAAGGTTTCTTTAGTATTTGCAAGTTTTCTGTTATTTTTGAGGATCTTTAGAGGGTCGTCTCTCGATTCTTAGGATACGAATACTTAAATAAAATTTTCTAGAATCTATGATATGCAAGCAAAGCTGAAAATTACCACAGATAGAGAATACTGCAAACATGCACAAACAGTAGATTGAATCCAAACCGAAAATTTTCCCCGAAAAGTTGGTAGATTCTTACGAATGATATATCTATCTTCATTTTTCTGAATCGAAGCATTCATCGGCAACGGTAGACGGCATAAACAGTTGGTCGTGGCCGAGGGTTGCAGAGGGCCATCAACAAAATCGCGATGATCAGAACAATGAGAACTCCGGTGAGATTTAAGCCATCATCTGATTCTTCCGTGCAACAACGTTTTCCCATTGTCAATATGCTTCTTCCTCTCGGCTCAGATGTTTTTCCTTTGTTCATATATATAAGTCAACTTGGAACGTCAATGGTTTTATTTGGTGAACATTGGTATGCAGATTTCTAGTATCTACTCTTAACAATGGTTGACTTTTAAAATCAATAAAAATATGTGTATAGTTTTTTGTTTTATAAAATCTAAAGTGAATATAAGGTATTATTTGTTTAAAGATTCATAATCCTTTGATAATGAACGTTTATACTTTCGTATATGTGATGTTCGAACTCGAAACTTCTTAAAATAATAACAAATTCATTATTTATTAAGATCGTTTGATTCATGCACGTATCTAATGTTCTGTTATATTAGAAGATCTATTAATTAAAAGTTTTTTTCCTCTTTTTGTTCATAATTTTCCCATCAATTTCTAGTTAATAGTATGTGTTTATTTTCTATTTTTTTTTCTATTTGCAATGGATTACTCATTATTATCTCTCATAATTTGTAATATTTATTTTGTTGATTCAAAATTTTACATATATAATAAATACAATCCTATTAATAAATTGAATTATCAAAATATTATTTATTAAAGGAAAATAAATTTCAAATTTTTTATTAGTTTTTTATGGTTTAAAGGTTAGTTTTGCCCTGTAGTAGACTTAATTTATTATTTTCGTCCTTATCGTATTTTCGCATCAATTTAATCATCAAATTTGTTTAATTCATCATCCTAAATTTTAAGTTTAAACCCCAATCTACATCTAACTTAAAATCTTAAATCATAAACCTTAAAATTTAAACCTAATTGTTAAACCCTAAATCTCAAACAAACCCTAAATTTTAATTTAAAACCTTAAACAATAATAAATATTTTAAATATTGATGTAACTAAACAATTTCGAAGATTAAATTGATATGCAAATATGATAAGAGTGAAAATGATAAAATAAGTATACTATAGGGATAAAAGTAGCCCTTAAGTATTTTTTATTTTATTTAAATTATAAATTTAATCATTAATCTTAAATATAATTATTTTTTTTAAATTTAATTATTATTTTAAAAAATTAAAATTTGACCATAACAATAATGATTAAATACATTATATCAAATTTTATTATTAATTTATATATTTATAAGTTGTATGTTTCATAATATTATCGAAAACCAAATTAGTACAGTAGTTAAATAAATGATTATTATTTTTAAATAAATAATTATTATTTTTAAATATTTCGGATTCGAACGTAAATATGAAATTGCCAAATAAATCTCAAAACTCCACCACTATAAATCAAACAAAAACAATAGAGATGGTCTCATTCTTAGTGATCTCCGCCTTCTTCCTCTCTTTCCTTTGATTCCATCGACCTAAACCCCGCTTTCAATGGCTTCTTCAACTGGATTTTCATTGAAATTCTCCCCTCTTTCATCTTCCTTCAAGCAAAACCAGGTTTTTTCTTCATTTTTTGGGTGTTTTTTAAGTTGGATTTGGCTAGAAATGTCGATTCCTTTGATGGGTTTGTTTTAGATTTTGTTTTTAAACTTTGTTATGGGTTTTAGATTCGATTGTGAAATTTGAATATTTTAATGAAATTTTTTCAATTTATTCAATTCGAAGTTCAGATGAAGATCAACTTCCTTCTTTACTTGAGCAAATGAGCTTAATCGGGAGAGCTCGAGTTTCTAAATTGAAATTCATTTGAGTTCGAGCTTTTGAGTTTATGAAATTACTAATTTATTCAAGTCTAATCGAGTTTTCTTTAAAAAAAGTGGAGTTTCGCTCACTCATACATCCTAATACTCTGCAAGAGGTTTCCATTGATTTTAACCAATTCTAATTCCTTTCTTCGCAGGTTCTTCTTCGAGGGGTCTGTAATGTCAACTCAGTTAGCCTCCGGTCTCGCGGAATGCTGCCCGGATCGTTGCGCCTACGTGTTTCATGCACGGTAAGGTTTTCTTTTTCTTTTGCCTGCTCAGTTTTTGCCTCGGTTTGTGGATCGGCGTCTGTGAATATAGCCGATTAGCGGTTCGAGTTCGAATAAGATAGCCGACTAGCCTTATCATTGATAGGACCATTAGCCATGGCTGTTTTCTTGGAAAATTTATCAAACTAAAGAGATTCGATTTACCTTGCCTATAGTATCCATATCCGACACTTGTTCTTCACATAGTTGAATACATGTATGGGAGTTTAATACGTGCATCTAACATTCACCTTCGAGTACGGGTAACATAGTGCATACTTCATTGATTCCATTCCGATGATGAAGCCTTTACATGCATTTCTCGATTAAAATCGATGTGCTTAACCCTTACGGGGATGTTGATACGCTTCAGGCTAAACCCGAAACTGTGGACAAAGTTTGTAGCATAGTGAGAAGCAACTGGCACTGCCCAAGGATTCTGCAGTCACCGAGAGTCAAAGTTCACTGCACTTGGAGCCGATTCTCTTGATACGGTAACCGACATCTACCCCATGGACCGATCTGTTCCAATTGCATTACAATAACACTCGATGGTATTTATGTGTTCTTGTTATTCAGGTCGAGATTGTGATGGGACTCGAGGAGGAGTTCGGAATCAGTGTGGAAGAAGAAAGTGCCCAGCATATCCTCACCGTTCAAGATGCAGCGGATCTGATCGAGAAGCTCGTGGAGCATAAATCCACTTGAAATGTTGTGGTGGAATCATCGGATCGATCGGTAGACCCGATGTTTTCGTAATGTTAGGTTGTTTTTGTTGCCCATGGGACATTCGAACCAACATGAAAGTTTGGTTGTTCATCGTTGTGGTTATAGTTTATGTAGGAACTCAGATGTCTCATTCCATGGTGTCATGAGGCATTTGTTTTATGACAAAAACATTCATTGAACTCTCAATCAGTTATTTTTTTAACCTTAAACTTGAATCAAACTCGATCTCACCTTTCGGAAAAATCCGATCCAAATTGATGTGGACTCAAATTTTCCAAATAAAACAATGACTAAAATAGTAAATATACAAATTTAGAATGACTCGAACTCGAAATAATTTAATCTAAATATCAAATTTGAAATAACTCGAAATGACATAATCCCTAATATTAATTAAAAAGTTTAAATAACTTAACTCGAAATTAAAATAATTTAATTGATAAAATTCGAATTGAAAAAGTGGTAAATCTCACACAATGACCAACGAACATGTGATGGATTCTTCAACATTAAACGCCAAAATTGTTGTCGTTTCGTGTGTCTCACGCGACACACCGCTGCGGTGCACGGAACTGTATGTCACCAGGCTGTCGAGCAAAGAAAACCCAGGCAAAAAAAAAAAAAACCCCGCGTTAAATTAAGCAATAAGCTGCCACAACTAAAAACGCCGTCAGCCGGGAAGACCCAAATGAGACTCTAGAAGACGTGGAGGAAAAACTGGCAGTGGAAGCGCAGAGGCGGGAGCGGCGGCGGAAGACTTAAGTCACAGAGTTACGGGGACATGGGTGGAAGGAACGGTGGTGGGCAAGGAGGAATGAGTCGTAGCTGGTGAGTCTCCACCGGGAGACGGTAAAAGGGGAATAATGTCAGGCGATAAAGGAGGATCCGCCGCCACACAAGTTGCCTGTGAGCCAAAAGACGGCGGAGGCTGGACGGCCGCCATGAAAAAGATGATGATAATTGAGAAACAAAAAGGAAGGCATTTTGTAATTTGTAAATGATAAACGAATCAATGTTTTAACAATTGGAGAGTTTTCTCTGAAGTCCAAACATCACCTTAAGGCTTAAAAAAAGGGAAATAAAGGGGTGTGATTTTAGGTAGTATTAATTCGATTTTGATTTATTTTTAGGATAAAATATTTAATTTTTTATTAAGTTAGATAATTATAAAGTAGTATATGTTCTACGTACTTTTAATCATTTAACAATAAATGTTCAATCAATTTACTAACAAATAAGTATTTAAAATATATTTTTTATTTAAGTACCTAAAATATTTTTTGGGTCAAAATTAATACTTAAAGTTACATTTTTAGTTAAAATAGAAACCTAAAGTATTCTATGTCAAAAATAGTTTAGGTACTTATATGAAAATTGAATACTTTAAGTACCTATTTTGATTGGAAAGATAATTTTAGATATTATTTTGACTAAAAAATACTTAAAGGTTTTTAAATAAAAAGATGATACCCTTTAAATACTTATTTGTTATATAAACCCTTTTTTTATTTAAAATAATTTTTTTTGATAAATTTATCATAAATACATGCTCGAAACCTCAACAGATAACAATAATTACTGAGTTAATTTAATTTATATTTATTAAAAAATAGATTTAAATTAACTATTGCATAGAAACATTTTAAAAAATTAATGAACTCTACAAACTCAAGTAGGAGAATTCGAGTTCTTATACTTAAAAATAAAAATAAAAAACAAATTCAATTCAATTCAATTCAATTAATATGAAAATAAGGTGAACAAAGTTTTTTTTTTAAAAATACAATTATGAAGGATTTATGGGACAATTTCCACGTGGTAAATCATAATTGGCTGGTGATGAGAAAATACAGGTTGGCAATGGAAGGGAAAGGGAAAAGAAGAAGAACAAGATGGTAAACTTTTGCTGTGACTGATATGGTTGTTAGCTGGTTATGATTGCTTTGCGATCCGTTAATCAGGTCGAAAAAAAAATGTTGTAATTTAAATTTTTTTTTATTAATATAAATAATTGCACCACGATAAATTTAAAGATAACTTTTAATTA